ATCTTCCAGAGTTTCGCCATCAAGAGTGATTGGATTGCTGTTCTGCGTGTTGAATTTGAGGACCTTGGTTTTCCCTTTGTGTATGCTGAGGCCTACTGATGCAGAGACTGCTGCTACACTGGCTGTCTTCATCTGCATCTGTTCGTGTGTACGTGATAGGAGGGCTAGGTCGTCTGCGAAGTCCAAATCGTCTAATTGATTCTGAGTTGTCCATTGTATTCCGTGTTTTCCTTCAGATGTTGAGGTCTTCATAATCCAGTCGACCACCAGAAGAAAGAGGAAGGGAGAGAGTAAACAGCCTTGTCTGACTCCAGTCCTTACTTGGAATGCATCTGTCAGCTGTCCTCCATGCACTACTTTGCACTGTAGTCCGTCGTATGAGTTCCGGATAATGTTGACAATCTTCTCAGGAACTCCGTAGTGTCGAAGAAGTTTCCATAATGTCCTCCTATCTACACTGTCGAATGCCTTTTCATAATCAATGAAGTTGATGTATAGTGATGAGTTCCACTCCACTGATTGTTCGACGATGATCCGTAGTGTTGCAATTTGGTCTGTGCACGACCGATCCTTACGGAATCCAGCTTGTTGATCTCGAAGTTGGGCGTCTACTGCATCCTTCATCCGGTTCAGCAACACTCTGTTGAAGACTTTCCCTGGTATTGACAGTAGTGTAATGCCTCTGTAGTTTTCACATTTGCTCAGATCTCCTTTCTTTGGAATCTTGACGAGGTGTCCTTCTTTCCAGTCCATTGGCACTTGTTCCTCCTCCCAAATCTTTTTGAATAGAAGGTACAGCATGCTTGTGGTTGCTTCGATGTCTGATTTCAGTGCTTCAGCTGGTATGTTGTCGGGTCCTGCTGCTTTCCCGTTCTTGATTTGTCTGACGGCCATTCTAATTTCTTCCGTCGTTGGTGGGTTGACATCTATAGGAAGATCTATGTGTGCTGCTTCGATGTCCGGTGGATTCATTGGAGCCGGCCTATTCAGGAGTTCCTCGAAGTATTCCACCCATCTGTTACGCTGATGTTGAATTTCGGTGATTGGCTTGCCTTCTTTGTCTTTGACCGGCCTCTCTGGTTTACTGTATTTCCCTGCTAGTTTCTTCGTTGTATCGTAAAGCTGTTTCATATTTCCTTCTCTAGCAGCTTTTTCTGCCGTCGTTGCTAGTTCTTCCACGTATTTCTTCTTGTCGGCTCTAATGCTCCTCTTCACTTGTTTGTTTGCTTCTATGTATTCAGCTTGTGCTTGACTTTCTCTGCTCGTGTTCGGCTGTTGTTAATTGCTGCCTTCTTGTTCTTCCTTTCTTTGATCTTGTCCAGTGTTTCTATAGAGATCCATTCCTTATGATGGTGTTTCTTTAGGCCCAGAACCTCTTGACACGTTGAAGTTAATGCTTCCTTGATGCCTTTCCAGTTGTCCTCCATACTAGTTTCTTCTTCTTTCAGTAGATCTTGTAAGGCTTGGAACCTGTTGTTGAGAGCTATCTTGAATTCATTGAGTTTGTCAGTATCTCGAAGGAAGGCTGTATTGAACCTTTGTAGTGCTGTTTGTCCACTTGTCCAGTTCTTTTTTAGCTTCAGTTTTAAATTGGCTACAACTAGGTGGTGATCTGAAGCTACGTCAGCACCTCTCCTGGTTCTTACATCTTCCATTGTCCTTCGGAATTTTTTGTTGATGCAAATATGATCTATTTGGTTCTCTGTAGTGTGGTCCGGTGAGATCCATGTAGCCTTGTGTATACGCTTGTGTGGAAATATTGTGCCTCCTATGACCAATTTGTTGAATGCACATAGATTTGCAAATCTTTCTCCATTTTCGTTTCTCTGTCCCAGTCCATGTCGTCCCATGATATCTTCATATCCGGTGTTGTCTATTCCGACTTTGGCATTTAGATCTCCCATCAGAATAGTTAGGTCCTTTCTTGGCATTTCTCAATGATTGACTGTAGCCGCTCGTAGAACTGATCTTTAATGTCGTCGTTGCTATCATTGGTGGGTGCATAACATTGGATAATATTCATTAAGATCCCCTCCTTCTTTGTTTTGAATGATGCTTTGATGATTCTGGATCCGTGAGACTCCCATCCTACAAGTGCATTTCGTGCTACTTTGGACAGCATAAGAGCGACTCCCTGAGTGTGTGGAGCATTGTCCTCCTCGTGACCGGAGTATAGCAGCATCTCTCCCGTAGCTAGCCTTTTCTGTCCAGCTTGGGTCCAGTGGGTTTCGCTGATTCCCAGTACTGCTAAGTTGTATCTCCTCATTTCCATTGCTATTTGACTGGTCTTCCCGGTTTCCCACATTGTTCGAACGTTCCATGTACCTATAAAAATTTTTGCTCTGGTTGTTAGAAGGGGCATCGGCCTCGTGGCTTCCGAAGGAACTCGGCTTTCACCATGAAGCGTCATAATTCTTCTAACTGAAGACCTTCTAACTCCCAGGGCAGAGTTTAAATGGTTTGAATAATTTTTTCTGGTAAGCGTTTTTTTAGCGAGTTAGTTTTCTACGGGATGGGGACGCTAACCCCATGCCCAACCCTCCTCCTTTACCCGGGCTTGGGACCGGCAGTAACCCTATTAGAGCTACAGGCGGACTTGAACAACCAATACGAAAATGAATTAACAATGCACTTTTAAGAAAACCGCTATCAAATTATTAAGGTTAAGATTCTAACATGACAAATAAAACTACAATGAGTTATAATATGTTTTTATTATGATAAGAACAATAATAAACATTAAAATAATAGCAATTTTGTGGACGTAAATAAACATATTTACTAACCAATACGATTAACATAGACAACAAAGGCTGATTATCAATAACATAGAATCTGTTTTTCTTTTTAAACGGGTGAGATAAATAGGTCATACATTTTTGTCTGATATCACATAGAGGAGACCAATTCTGTCAGTAGTCAGATCAATACGCATATACATATACTAAAATTGATTTGATAAAAACAAGCTAAAATAGGATTAGTATTTTTTTAAAAAAAACAAGTCTATCTAAAGGATGGAACAGACCTTTAAGTAATAAATGTTTTGAGAAATGACTCATTTGGAGATGATTGACACTAGTATTTAAGTTTGCGTATATTTTTGGGTTTCAAAATAGATGCAAAACTTGACAATTAAAGTGCTTGATGGATTTTTTTGCTACGTTTATGAACCAGTAACAAACGATGATTCGGATGATCTGATAGAATGATACATGTCAGATTCTTCCACGTACAGAATATCTAGGTAAAAGCTTATTCTGTCATTACGAAATTTGAATAAATCAATAAATAAAAAATATTAGTGTAACTTTCTAATGAAGCCAATGAAAAAAAAGGGTTACTTTCGTTAAATAAGGATTTGGACGAGCATCCGCCCAAATTTGAACAGCTTGATGGAAACAGCAGAGTATATGGAGGACATTGAATATAAAAGTCTTTATCATATTCCTCAGAAGTTCGGACTAGTTTCCCAGACAAAACGTTGGAAGTATTTAAATTTCAATCAGAGATTATTCAGAAACAATTTCTACATTTATATATCGACTTTACTAGGCATTTTCGTATATAGAGATTAGTGAAGAGAGCAGATAGTTTTCGTCCCGAAATGAAATGAGCTGGAGAGAACATTCGACAACTCTTTCCCGTTGAACTAGGGTTCATCATCACACAAATAGAGCCTTCAACTTTTGAGAGGAGCATGATAATATCAATGGATCTCGATCTATTAATGCAGACAACTTAAAATCACAACCATCAATATATTTTTAGGAAGGACTGTGCTAGTACTTTGTTAATTCTTTCCGGAAGACAAATCGTATGTATCTTGCTGAATAGCAGGTCGTTATGTAACTAGCTTAAATCCAGTCAGTAAATCAACCGAAAATAGTAAGTTGTTTAAATTCAGTGAAACTGGATTTAGCAAATATTATGTAGATCGAGTAACAACAGTAGAATTTGATTAAGTTTTGCACATTCCCGTTAGATGTCATAAGCAACTGATTACCAGTAAATGAGTTGGATCACAAATAATGATCATTTTCATACTTATTTACAATATTATGTTAATGAGGAAGTTCATGAGAAGGGAAAAATGAGAGGATTTAACGAAGATTGTAACAGAACTACTGCATGCGTAATATCTGACACCCACTTGTCTAGTCTAAATACTTTCCAAGCATAATATTAACAATCGGATCTCAAATTAATCGTTGTCATACTAGATAAATTTGATAGGAATGAAAGATCACGAGTAGTCATCTGAAGAGTGAATACTGATCGCGAATTAGTTGTTCAAATCGTATAAAATACTCGGGTACGAGATGCGTGCTTTAAAATGTTTAGTCATTGACCCAATTAACTTCAAAAGTCATACAGATTCTGTGGAAACAATTTAGCTTTTTTCGTTGAGGTTACGAGACCTGAACGACCTTTGGAAACCAAAAAGTGCTAGACACATGTCATCCTGTTACAATTTCTAGAGTGCGCCAGCTTCAAGGTAAACACGACACCAGTCTGCATTGGACACTAATTTTTGAGTAACGCCTTTGACTACGGTCTCCACAATCCAATGGATGTTAGAGACACAATAAAGAGAGCTCGTAGGACGAGGTTTCGGACTCATGGAACGTCACAGATGGAAATAAATACTAAATCACAAAATGTTAAGTAGAAGCATCTTATAATAACCCTTAACTCACGCAAAATATACCACCCTCATTATTATGAAGTGCCTTGAATAATCAACACAATGCCACGTTAGATTGCTACATCCGAAACATTACTACGTTCCGACCTATACCACCAACCAACCATACAGAACACTTAACCCTCCAAACGACGGAATAAATGAAAACCGCAACTCTAACGTTGGATACTCAGGTGGAAAATACTCGCTCACTGTCACTACTATTGCAGCTCTTAACACTAGGTCTAGGAAGAAAAAATATGCAATTTACTGGGATGTAAAAAAATATATTTCAAGTAGTAATCAAGTAACATTAAAATCCGCCATCATCAGAGTGCGCATCTACGGTATCTGCAGCAACTTCTTCGTAATCTCTTTCTAGAGCAGCCAAGTCTTCGCGAGCTTCTGAAAACTCTCCTTCCTCCATACCTTCACCAACATACCAATGAACGAATGCGCGTTTCGCGTACATGAGATCAAACTTGCGGTTCAAACGAGCCCATGCCTCTGAAATAGCAGTAGTATTGCTAAGCATGCAAACTGCGCGCTGTACCTTGGCTAAATCTCCTCCAGGAACAACAGTGGGTGGTTGATAGTTAATTCCAACTTTAAAACCAGTGGGACACCAATCAACAAACTGAATTGATCTTCTAGTTTTGATATTTGCGATTGCTGCGTTTACGTCTTTCGGAACAACGTCACCTCGGTATAACAAGCAACAAGCCATGTATTTTCCATTTCTTGGGTCACACTTGACCATTTGATTAGCAGGTTCAAAACATGAATTGGTAATTTCGGAAACGCTTAGTTGTTCATGGAATGCCTTTTCTGCTGATATAATGGGTGCATATGTTGTTAATGGGAAATGGATACGGGGATAAGGAACCAAATTGGTTTGAAACTCGTTTAAATCTACGTTCAAAGCACCACTAAATCGAAGAGAAGCAGTAATAGAGCTAACAATTTGTCCAATTAATCGGTTAAGATTGCTGTATGTTGGTCGATCAATGGTTAAATTTCGTCGACATATCTCATAAATAGCTTCATTATCAACCATAAAGGCACAATCTGAATGTTCTAACGTTGTATGTGTAGTAAGAATAGAGTTGTAAGGTTCAACAACAGCTGTTGAGATATGAGGGGCTGGATATACAGCAAACTCCAACTTAGCTTTTTTACCGAAATCAACAGAAAGACGCTCCATTAATAGAGATGTAAAACCAGATCCCGTCCCTCCACCAAATGAATGGAACACTAAGAAACCTTGGAGTCCTGTGCACCTTTCAGATAATTTCCGAATACGATCTAGAACTTCATCGACCAACTCTTTACCAACTGTGTAGTGACCACGGGCATAATTATTGGCAGCATCTTCCTTCCCGCTTATCATTTGTTCTGGATGGAACAACTGCTTATAAGAGCCAGTCCGCAGTCTGTCAATAACTGAAGGTTCCAAGTCTACGAAAACAGCACGTGGGACGTAACGACCGTAGCTAGTCTCGCTGAAGAACGTACTGAAAGAATCGTTATCGTTTTTAATAGTTGAGTCACTAGGGACTTTGCCATCAGGTTGTATTCCATGTTCGAGGCAATAGAGCTCCCAACAGGAATCGCCCATCTGAGTTCCAGCTTGACCAACATGTAGACTGATACATTCGCGCTAAGAGAGGAATATATAAGTATAGAGATAAACTTTTTATAAAATAAACGTATGCAAGAAACTATTTATCTTGATGTAGAACATTGCAAACTGTAAGTAATTGGTCTTTTGTGACGTAGTCTATGTAGTCGGTAATGAAGGCTGATACAATATTAATGTGAAACAACGTAAAAATCACTGATCCCATTCGTTTACCTGAACTTACCCTAGTTACTAAGATTCGGATAAATCGTTAGTTGCATGACTCAATTTTATACTCGATGTCAAGAAATCAAACTCCATGCTCCAACAACCGCATTGTAGCTTAAATGTCACGGAATTTCAAGTGAGACAACTAAACTGGGTCTCGTGTATACTGATGTGGTAAAATAAAATCTAATTTAGTTATGAAGATCACCACGCTGCTTACCATTAATAAATTGAACACAAAAACGTTTTATGTAATAAATCCACTGAATTCCTACATGATACTATTAAATGACTCACCATGATTGAAAGCAACCGAACCAAAGGTATCTCTCGTTCAACTGTAATGTAGGCCTTAGTTCATGTATTTAACTGAATAGTATGGAAAAACAAAGCTCCCCGATTGGTCATCATTGACAATCACTCAAGTTTTCAGGGCAGACAAACCCGATCGATTAACATACAAAATTCAACACCCCTACCTAGTCTTAATTTCGATTGGTAAGCATCACAAAGCAAAACAGTTCATGGTCTGATCTATAACTTGACCTCTTGAAAATGTTCACAAAACGACATGTATGATGAGATTTCATTGTGGTTAGCACACAAAAAATTTAATAATGTTGACCTTGCAGAGGCATTAATTTTTTCAATGTGAAGCCAAATCACACAAACAGTCTTTTGTAACAATTTAATGATCGTTTTTTTTTTACAAAGCGATTAGTTTCTCAGAGCACAGAATCTAAGTATTTTAGTCTAATGATTTAATAAAAAGACCACTTCTATGGAAAATTTAAAGTCTAGTTATATCTTAAAAATATCCTGATTAAAAGCAGAGATGGATAGTGGCCAGCAGTGGAATCCAGGAAGAGCGTTTCGTCCCACTTGGGACTCATCAGCTAGATGTACATGCGTCTCGAGTTGGTGTTCTCTGGCACTCGAACCCAGTATCCTGAGGGAACAAATGGCGCATGAAGCAATCGTGGGACACCGGTTACCATGGGACTGCATCTCCTTACGATGCTCCACACAAATCAAATGAGATTTGTGTGGCGCATATGTATCTGGTGCTCCCTTGAATCAATATCTATGTGCCATACCAAATGTTATTTGTCTTCATGATGCATTCGTTTCCTGTGGGGAACTTGTTCGATGTGAAGTACGAGTCATAAATGAGATCGAACTTGATTACAATTCGGATGATTTCATTTCAACGGTTGTTTATCCTTATCATGAAGTCACTCCTAGCAGATCCTCTAGTCAATGTGTGAAACATGTTGTAAATACCCACAAATGCTCTGGTACGGTCGAAATGCTCCCACATGGCCACACATATACAACCACTGACAGGGAAATCCTACTCCACTGCCTTCGTAAGGGAGGATATTGTTGGAAAACCTATGGTTCAAATTCTAGATATCATTACACAACCGACATATTGATCATATGCAATTCCAGGACCCAGGTGAGTCCGTTCCAACTTCATTTGTTAATGCTAATACTAATGAACATATTCTAAATCAGACCGAGTTTGTATCCAATACATATTCTGACAGACATACAATGAACCTAAGATGTTCAATTGATTACAGAAACCTAGATTCCAATCTAAACTGTTGTGTTTGTATCGCCTGATTTTGAATTTTAAATACAATACGCTTGTTTGTGCTTACCTAGTTTTATCTGACTTAAATTGCGTTATTTCGGGGATTCCAAGTTAATACAATAATCTGAATACTTCTAATCATCACAAACACATACAACTGATTATTATAAAATATAATAATCAAAACATCCCGTCATATCATAAATGAATGAAATCAGACTTAATTTAAAATGAGGTACCAAGTCTCAACGTGACCGTGAAATGCACTTTGCATTCACTATTTTTATTCGCTGAGTTGAATGGATTTGCTTCCACTATTATCAGTAATTCATTTTCAATCACAAATAGTTAGTTTGGATACAGTGGTTATGATTATTTGTTACTGTAAAGTCAGTTTTGATGCTTGTTGTCGCTAGTGAAACAATTGTTACGAAGTTGAATCGAACTGCTTACTCCGTTCCCGCCAACAACAACCTAAAGATTGAGGGAAAAATGAAATCACTACGAGAATAAGGAATCTGTCGGAATTCGAAAGCTAAATACTTGGTAAATCATAAAAATGAAAATCTGAATCTAATGTATGCTCAAGAATTCTTCTTTGAAAATTATTGAAGAGCTTATGAGACTGAAAGAAACAAATGAACATAAAGATGCTACAAGTATATGGTGGTTGGCAATACCTTAACCAGTAACACCTACTGTAATCAAAACGCACCAACAAAGTGAAATCAAAAGATAGAAGAGAAGAGTTTGAATGATATATTAGACAGCCTATCGACATAACAAGAAATGACTAATCTAAGCTGGCTAGCGGATGTAGGAAAAGTAATATACAGAACACAAATGAGTAATCTCGTGAATGAGCGTAAAAGCAATAAACATATACACATATAGTTTATTTATTTGAACACATAAATATTGGTACAAGGCGACACCAAATATATATGCGCCACACAAAACAATGAGAATGGGAAGAGAAAAATAGGAAGGTAAGGAGCGTAAAAGAAAAAAAAGAAGAACAATAACGACCAGATTAGTGTAAGGTAGTGTAATAATAATAATAATAATAATAATAATAATAATAATGGGGGAAACGGAAAGGTACAACCAGAAGAAACCTTTCAGTTAAGGAAGATACAACCACATTTATGAAGAAAGTAAAAGAAGGTTACAACAGGATCGCCACTGGCCTACATTCTGAGCCACATCTGATAACGTCTCTAGCCACTGTGTAGCACCATCTCTCGGACCCGTCAGGGAGTCGTGAAGAACCAACAGGATCCAGCCCTTTGAAGCTTTCTTTCATACCCCGACACCATATCATACACTGACTACCTCTTCGCTTCTTCCAACCAGTCCTACCGTCGGCAAATAATGCACGACGTGGAATTCTCTGGGACGACATTCGGAGAACATGTACAAGCCACCGAAGTCGGTTCTTCGAGATGATGACACCAATTGCATTATCGTCTCTGTGCCCGAACACACGATGCCGAACCTCTGCATTACTAACATGGTGTTGGCACTGGATGTCAGCAATCCTTCGGAGACAGCGATGATCGAACACAGAGAGTCGTCTAACATCCTCAACTCGGAGAGACCAGGTTTCACAAGCATAGAGCAAAACTGCTCTCACCGACGCGTTGTAAATCCGACCTTTTACAGCCAGACTAACATCACGAAGGCGCCAAAGATGGCCCAGATTGGCATAAGTCGCTCTGGCTTTCACTATATATGCATTGATCTCATCACTCAAGCCACCACCAGCACTTATGCAGCTACCCAGATACACGAACTTCTCGACTACTTCTATCTGCTCACCATCCAGAGTGAGTACAGGATTAGAATCCTGCCAGTCTTGTAGAAGTACCTTGCACTTCGAAGGTGCAAAGCACATACCATACCTACGGACATTGATTGCCAACTGATTAAGTGAGGATCGCATGGCTTGGGCATTATCGCACAGTAAGACAATATTATCCGCATACTCAAGGTCGAGAAGTCTTTCTCCAGGCAACAGATCCACACCACCATTACTTACATTCATCAGAGCTGTTTCCAGAATGTCATCGATGGCAAAGTTGAAGAGGAATGATGAGATTGGGCAACCCTGTCTAACCCCACTGCTCGAATAGAACAATGGAGAGAGGTGGTTGTATGCCCTCACTCTACCCGAGGTATTTGTGTATAGGGCGTTTAGGATGTTAATAAACTTCTCAGGCACACCATTCTTCAATAGGCAATCTCAGTGAACAGTCCTATCCAACGAATCGAAGGTAGCCCTAATGTCAAGAAACATTACGATTGTTGGTGTTTCATAGGTATGACGGTGTTCTAACATTTGGAGGAGGGTGAAGATATGATCAATACATCCTCGACCAGAACGAAACCCAGCCTGCTCCTCGCGAGTCAATCTTTCTCGAGTTTTGAACAACCTACGAAGTATGACGGAAGCCAATAGCTTGAACGCAATCGGAAGTTGAATTGTCCCCCAATAGTTGTTACAGGAACGACGTGAACCCTTTTTAAAGATAGGGACAACTATCGACTCATTCCATGACGTTGGAACACTATCTAGCTACCACACCTTTGTAAACAACACAGTCAGTTCCTTAGTCAGAAAGTCATCACCATCTTTAAAAAGAGCCGGAGGTAAGTCATCTGGGCTCGGTGATTTGTAGCGCCTGAAGAGTTGGAGTTCCCTGCGAACTTCCGCCTCATTTGGTGGATCAATCGTCACCGGCTATGGAGGGCAGGACAGTCTGACCGATGTTGCCGGAGCAGCAGGCCAGTTGAACTGCCCTTCAAAAAATTCTGCCCATCGTCCAAGACGTCGATGGATGTTAGTGATTGGCATCCCATCATCCTCACAGATTGTTTCGCTCACACCAGACTTCTCGCTGCCAGTGGCTCGGTTGAATTGGAAGAGCTTCCGGTAGTTACAGATGCAGCTGTTGCTTCCAGCTCATTAGCACGCTCCGACCACCAGGCTTCTCTGTCCTTACGCAAGCTTTGCCCGATTTCACTACGTAACATCCTCCGTTTGTGGTCAAACTCACGGTCACCCGGAGTAGGAGAGACATCGTCTAACATGGCGACCCCCTACACCAAACCAACGATGGACTCAAATAGACCATATTGCCATCAGTCATCGTTGGAGAGGGTCGGTAGAAGATTGTCGTTCATTCTGGAGCACCTGCTTGGACTCCGACCATGCCCTAATACGGGCACGCATCTGCTTGCGCCTCAATGGACGCAAAAAAGCCACATTAAAAAGACCCATTAGAACTGAGTTGAGTAACGAGAAAACCAAAAGTAGGTTCCAGGAACAACTGAGGTCACACTTAGTTAGTTGTGAAGACGAGGCTGACCCAGATGTTGCTTGGAAGGACATACAAGCAGCTGTGGAAACAGCAGTGACATCTGTTAGTGACTTAAACCACAGAGTTACAAGGAACCAGTGGATTTCTTCAAGGTCTGTCACACTGATGGATTCTCGCAAACTCGTCCCATCAGGTTCTGAACATGATGAAGAGCGTAAACAAATCAGATCTAGGTTAAGAAAAAGTCTAAGGAACGACCGTGAGCAGTGGTGGGTAACGAAAGCAAAAGAGATGGAAAAGGCGGCGACTATAGGGAACACAAGACAGCTTTACAGACTAATAAAAGAAACTGGAACTAATAAGTCAAGTGTAAGTGAGATTATTTCGGAAAAAGATGATACTCTCATCTGCTCCCAGTCCAGACGTTTAGAACGATGGGCGGAACATTTTAGAGAACAGTTCAGCTGGCCTTCAGCTACTCTACAACTACCCTCCATTCCCAGACAAAGTGAATGGAACATTGAAGTAGGTCCCCCAACTCTTGCTGAAGTTGAGAAGGCTATAGTTAATCTGAAACGAGGAAGGGCAGCTGGTCCAGATGGACTGGCTCCAGAAGTCTTTAAGGATGGTGGTCCAATTTTAGCGATTAGGTTGACTAATATTTTGGCTAAAATCTGGGAGTTAGACGTTATCCCATCTGACTGGTCGCAATCACTTATCGTCCCAATATATAAGAAAGGGTCAAAATCATCCTGTGACAACCACAGAGGGATTAGTTTAACAAACATAGTATCTAAAATACTGGCCTCGATAATTATCAAACGCCTAACTAAGACTCGTGAACTACAAACACGAGAGAACCAAGCTGGCTTTAGACCTGGTCGTGGCTGCATCGACCACATATTCACCATTCGTCAGGTTCTAGAACACAGGCATACCTATCGGCGTCCGACGATGGTGGTCTTTCTTGACTTAAAAGCAGCATTTGACTCTGTAGACCGCGAGACTCTGTGGCAGTGTCTGTCATTGAAAGGCGTACCTCAGAAGTACATAAACCTTGTGAAGGCTCTTTACTCGAACACTACTAGTCGAGTCAGGGCTTATGGCGAACTGTCATCTACCTTTACAACCTCAAGTGGTGTCCGTCAAGGCTGCCCACTTTCTCCATTTTTGTTTAACTTCATCATAGACCTATTGATGGAAATAACACTCTCGTCGACTGAATTCTCGGGTATTGATCTCCTTCCAGGAGGTCCACTTATCGACTTAGAATATGCAGATGACATAGTCCTGTTTGGTGAAGACGCTGACAAAATGCAGAGTCTTCTGGTAGCACTAAGCAACAATGCCAGAATGTTTGGGATGCGCTTCTCTCCCTCTAAATGCAAGTTGTTGCTTCAGGACTGGTCTGCGTCAACACCTGAACTAAGGATAGGGAGTGAAGTAGTCGAACGTGTTGACAACTTCACTTATCTTGGAAGTCTGATCAGCCCTAATGGGTTGGTGTCTGACGAAATCTCAGCACGGATTCGTAAAGCTCGTTTGGCTTTTGCCAACTTACGTCACCTTTGGCGGAGGCGAGATATCCGTCTATCAATAAAAGGACGAGTATACTGCGCGGCTGTCCGTTCTGTTTTAATTTACGGCAGCGAAACATGGCCCTTAAGAGTAGAAGACACCCGTAAGCTACTAGTATTTGACCACAGATGCCTTAGAAATATTGCTGGCATCTGCTGGGATCACCGGGTAAGTAATAGTGAGGTTAGACGCAGGGTATTAGGGAATGATGGTAAATCAGTTGATGAGGTTATGAATCTTCATCGACTGAGATGGTTGGGCCACGTATTACGTATGCCTGAACACCGATTACCGCGACGTGCAATGCTAACCGGTGTAGGGGATGGTTGGAAGAAAGTTAGGGGCGGCCAAACCAAAACGTGGCATCAGTGCCTGAAGTCACTAACTTCTAGTCTGAGCCATGTTGGTAGATGCAGACTACTTGGTTGGGGTCCGCGTGACTTTCGTAACCAATGGTTGGAGACCCTTGGTGACATGGCTCAGAATCGATCACAATGGCGTCGGTGTATACACTCTCTGTCTTCTCTTAAACTAAGAGATTAAGATCACTTCACATCTTTCTTTCTACGAACTAATTCTTTCTTCCTATACTATATCCTTATTGCAATCTTTCTCCTATATATTACCACCTTTGACCTAACCACTCCTATGAATCCAGTGTTCATCTTGCTGTGCTAATGAGGTATGGCAACCTGGGCCGATGCATACATGTGCCTGGTCCTACGTTGTAGCTGACTGACTGACTGACAACCGGAGTAGACCGACGGGCTTCAATGAGTTGTAAGAAGCCTGAAGAAACCCAGTGCTTATAAGCGGGACGTTTCGCGAAGCCGCAAGTGGCTTTACTCGCCATTTTCTGGCGTCATGCAATTGCAACCAATGCTCATCTATACTTTTCGGTGTAATGGTAGCTAGCTTAGAAGCTGGCTCGGTTCGATAAACACTAGCAACAGAAGTTGCAACCAGCTTGCTAATATCAATCCGTTGATGGCGGTCACTTCGTTGTCCACTGAAAAGTAAGGTAAGATTGGCGCAGACCAAGGCATGGTCAGAGTCCAGATAGGTACTCCAAAAGGAGCGGCAATCTTGTACACAACCACACCAGCGGTAGCTGATCGCGATGTGATCAATCTGAGTCCAGGCTTGAGATGCAGAGGGAGGACGCCAGGTGGCACATCGGCGATGACTGTGCCGAAAGTTAGTGCTAGCCAGAAACAGGTTGTGGTCTGTGCACAGTTGCAGTAGACGGTCTCCGTTTTCTGACCTGCGACCAACGAGTCCCCATCGGCCACCTAAACGATTCTCTTCTGTGCCTAAACGCCCGACCTGAGCATTCAAGTCTCCGGCTAGTACTACAATATCCGTCGAACGCACTTTCTGGAGAAGAACAGATAACTGGTGGTAAAACTCATCCTTGATTGCATCCGGGCTGCAATCTGTAGGGGCATAAGCGGAGATGACGAAAACGCATCGTTTCTCACGCCGATTTCTTCTCACTTTGATGGAACTCTCTAATCTAACAGCACATAACCGACTGTTAATGGGGATCCAATCGATTAGTGCTGCCTCAGCTCTAGCGCTTAGTGTGACACCAACGCCAGCAAGACCAGACGAAGATGCCACAGGGTCCCTGGATAAGCGCATGTGAAAGAAGCTTTTTGAAGCTACAGATGGAGTGTGAATTTGTAGTACTTCACCAGAGTCTCGAATACGGGTCTCGGATAGACAGCAAACATCAATATTAAGACTTTCCAAAGACATAGCCAGCCCTATCTGTTGTCCGACTTGCATAAATGTGCGAACGTTGAAGGCAGCCAGTTTGAATGGTGCTCATGGTTTCAGAAAAACTGCTTCAGTATTCGTATTCGGTGGTAACATACAATTTTCAACCAGGCAGTGACTCGAGAACGTTTAGATACAGTCGAATTTCCACCATAAACGAGCTGCTGTATAAGTCGAAAAAAATAGGTATAAACAGAGTGGGAATAAAGGAGGTTGAATAATGACGTGGTAAATAATAATAATAATAATAATAATAATAATAATAATAATAATAATAATAATAATAATAATAATAATAATAAAGATAATTGAATAATTTGAATGTTCGTCGAAGCAAGAGAATTAGTTTCCATGATCATAGACAGTTCAGTTCATTAATTGTGTGTGGGCTGTGATACTGCACGGGTGCCCAAACCAAAGCAGGTGGTTATCTTAGGGTGCCCCACACCCGAGACTTGTAGATATATAACACTTTAAGAAGCCAACTGAATAACTATGAGGGGACGTTGTAAAAAAGTGTATAGGAGAAGACGTACCAACTTAAGCTGTGAGTGAAGAAAGGCTATCAAAATTTCAATTGAAGACATCCCATTTGTTTTGTTTTCTGAAGCTGGATCTTTGAGTGAGCTATCAGTGACATGATCTCTAGAATTTTCATCTAAAAGGTATTTGTATAAATGTTTCGGAATGATGTTCAATACGTTGACCACCTGGCTGAAAGAAAGACGAGAACAAAAACATAAGAACCAATTATTTATTTATTTATTTGAACACATAAATATTGGTACAAGAGAGCTGTGATACTGCCCGGGGTTATCTTAGGGTGCCACACCCCGAGCCTTTGACCTAAAGGTCTGACCCACAAGGCAGTGGAGCATCGTGAAGAGATGCAGCCCCATGGTAGCCGGTGACAAACAATTGGTTCATACGCCATTTGTTCCCCCAGGATACTGCAGCCCATGTGCACCACTGATTTGGGATCCGGTTAAAGCGCCGGACATTCGCTTTTCGTCCTCTCATTTTCGTAAACAACACACCCGCCACGAGAAGGCAGTGAGTAGGACTTCCCTGGCAGAGGCTATGTACGCGTGGCCGTGTGAGAGCATTTCGAGAGGAAGGGCGGGCCCACTCCACTCTCGGCCGTACCAGGGCATTTGTGGGATAAATTTTGGTTTATTACTGATTTATCGGGTACACGCCAGTTTAATAATTATGAATGATAAATTTGAAAGATATTGGTAATTTAACTGTTCATATTCAGACAGCGTAAAAACCGGTATGCATGATCATCAATTTAAATGATCGAATCCTATATCTCCAAATTGAGAGAGGTATTGAAAAATGGATGTGAACTACAAGATTGGAAATAATATCACTTTCAGCAGAACTCCAAATTTAAGATGTTATATCATGTGTCCCATCAAAATATCACGTGGCAAAACGCCAATCAGAACACTAACTAAAATGACTTTGTCCCTGTGCTAAATCAATAGTGCATTACCACCACAAAAAGCCCTGAACCAACTCTGAGTCCTTATTGGTCCTCTGTATGGTAGCTTCTCGCCTAACCAGCCAGTTCAGAACAAAAATATCAACCTCTGCTACATGAATCGTATATTTCAGACATACTTGGTTTATATGCAAGCAAACCAGATTTCATCACAACATAAAATGAAAAATAGTAACTATACAAGTTCAGGCCAAAAAAGGTTGTGAGCATGAGATACTGTAACTAACAAATTGGGAATACGTTAAAAATGGTAAGTCGTATAACAGTGGCTGATAAGTCAAATATAAGCTTATGATAAAAGGAATACGAATACGCATAATTCAGTTGCTTAATAATCATTCATTGAGAATATATTTAGTAGTAGTCCATAAATAGTTCCTATCAGATAGCATTCATTTATTCTTCGTTCGGATATAACACAAGAGACTATGTTTAAAATCATTTAACGAGGCTGAGTTACGAAAAGTATGGTATGATATCAGACGGGAGATTCAGAAGTAAACAGACAATGAATGAAACTGTGCCAGTGTTTGATCTCGAAACACGTAGTCCGACACCTTTAACTTGTAAGATGATTTCAGAATCTTAATTTGTAAATAAATGTAAACTCTTCTGACCTTCAAATCTCATCCACGGTTCTTAATCTGTTCTCTTCTAATATTATACTATGTTAGAACTAACACTGTTAGTATTTTTACAGTTCGGCTTTTCGATCCTAATTTGATATACCTCTCTAGAGTGAAAAACTGGACACAATATTTTTGGAGCGATTAATATATAAAGATTTAAATACTTCCGATATGTTCCATCCAGAACACATAAGTATTTACTTGTTGCAAGTATCCCAAATTTATTTCCTCAACTTTCATATGTTTATGTGTTATCATCTTGGCTAACCATTACTTTGAATTGGTTCAGCTTAGACCACCACAAACTATGGACAACAATCGTCTCATTAGTCTCAAACAGAAGACCTAAAACTACCGATGTGTTTAGTCCAACAGCCAATAACTTTACCAGCTGGCGACATTACTCCCTTCAATTATTATTAACCTTATCGCTCACTCGTGCAGCGTCTGTCTGATATTTGTACCAACTAATTATTCTTATATACTTTATTGTCCAGTGATTACGAATTTTAAATATAATTCGTTCATTTGTGGTCATCTAGTTCCACCTGCCTTGAATTGGAGTGTTCTGGGAATTCTTAGTCAACAAATAAACTCGACTACTTCTTATTATCACACAAATGCATTTTTCTGATTTTTGTGATTCGACTTCACAATCGTAAGCAGAACAACATCAATTCTCGACTCAGTGGAAACCGCGAATGTATGGACAATTCATCATGAAACTAATAATCAACTATTCAACATTCACACAACAACACACCTAGTTGATGCCTATCAACATACATCACACAAACACACGTCAACTCACCTGAAACTCATCAACAATTCATTCTTCTCGACCACACCCACACACGACCAATCCATTCTATTACGCACACAAAAACTATACTCCCATCTATTCAATCCACTCTCTCGATCACCAAACCAACACCACCGTCGCCGCTCCTACAAAATAAACAAATAAAACACAAAAACAACACATCAATTGCTCATCACAATATCCACATCGACCAACACAAAAACACTAAAGTCAGACATCCAAGTGACGGAGAACAACATCAATTCTCGACTCAGTGGAAACCGCGAATGTATGGACAATTCATCATGAAACTAATAATCAACTATTCAACATTCACACAACAACACACCTAGTTGATGCCTATCAACATACATCACACAAACACACGTCAACTCACCTGAAACTCATCAACAATTCATTCTTCTCGACCACACCCACACACGACCAATCCATTCTATTACGCACACAAAAACTATACTCCCATCTATTCAATCCACTCTCTCGATCACCAAACCAACACCACCGTCGCCGCTCCTACAAAATAAACAAATAAAACACAAAAACAACACATCAATTGCTCATCACAATATCCACATCGACCAACACAAAAACACTAAAGTCAGACATCCAAGTGACGGAGAACAACATCAATTCTCGACTCAGTGGAAACCGCGAATGTATGGACAATTCATCATGAAACTAATAATCAACTATTCAACATTCACACAACAACACACCTAGTTGATGCCTATCAACATACATCACACAAACACACGTCAACTCACCTGAAACTCATCAACAATTCATTCTTCTCGACCACACCCACACACGACCAATCCATTCTATTACGCACACAAAAACTATACTCCCATCTATTCAATCCACTCTCTCGATCACCAAACCAACACCACCGTCGCCGCTCCTACAAAATAAACAAATAAAACACAAAAACAACACATCAATTGCTCATCACAATATCCACATCGACCAACACAAAAACACTAAAGTCAGACATCCAAGTGACGGAGAACAACATCAATTCTCGACTCAGTGGAAACCGCGAATGTATGGACAATTCATCATGAAACTAATAATCAACTATTCAACATTCACACAACAACACACCTAGTTGATGCCTATCAACATACATCACACAAACACACGTCAACTCACCTGAAACTCATCAACAATTCATTCTTCTCGACCACACCCACACACGACCAATCCATTCTATTACGCACACAAAAACTATACTCCCATCTATTCAATCCACTCTCTCGATCACCAAACCAACACCACCGTCGCCGCTCCTACAAAATAAACAAATAAAACACAAAAACAACACATCAATTGCTCATCACAATATCCACATCGACCAACACAAAAACACTAAAGTCAGACATCCAAGTGACGGAGAACAACATCAATTCTCGACTCAGTGGAAACCGCGAATGTATGGACAATTCATCATGAAACTAATAATCAACTATTCAACATTCACACAACAACACACCTAGTTGATGCCTATCAACATACATCACACAAACACACGTCAACTCACCTGAAACTCATCAACAATTCATTCTTCTCGACCACACCCACACACGACCAATCCATTCTATTACGCACACAAAAACTATACTCCCATCTATTCAATCCACTCTCTCGATCACCAAACCAACACCACCGTCGCCGCTCCTACAAAATAAACAAATAAAACACAAAAACAACACATCAATTGCTCATCACAATATCCACATCGACCAACACAAAAACACTAAAGTCAGACATCCAAGTGACGGAGAACAACATCAATTCTCGACTCAGTGGAAACCGCGAATGTATGGACAATTCATCATGAAACTAATAATCAACTATTCAACATTCACACAACAACACACCTAGTTGATGCCTATCAACATACATCACACAAACACACGTCAACTCACCTGAAACTCATCAACAATTCATTCTTCTCGACCACACCCACACACGACCAATCCATTCTATTACGCACACAAAAACTATACTCCCATCTATTCAATCCACTCTCTCGATCACCAAACCAACACCACCGTCGCCGCTCCTACAAAATAAACAAATAAAACACAAAAACAACACATCAATTGCTCATCACAATATCCACATCGACCAACACAAAAACACTAAAGTCAGACATCCAAGTGACGGAGAACAACATCAATTCTCGACTCAGTGGAAACCGCGAATGTATGGACAATTCATCATGAAACTAATAATCAACTATTCAACATTCACACAACAACACACCTAGTTGATGCCTATCAACATACATCACACAAACACACGTCAACTCACCTGAAACTCATCAACAATTCATTCTTCTCGACCACACCCACACACGACCAATCCATTCTATTACGCACACAAAAACTATACTCCCATCTATTCAATCCACTCTCTCGATCACCAAACCAACACCACCGTCGCCGCTCCTACAAAATAAACAAATAAAACACAAAAACAACACATCAATTGCTCATCACAATATCCACATCGACCAACACAAAAACACTAAAGTCAGACATCCAAGTGACGGAGAACAACATCAATTCTCGACTCAGTGGAAACCGCGAATGTATGGACAATTCATCATGAAACTAATAATCAACTATTCAACATTCACACAACAACACACCTAGTTGATGCCTATCAACATACATCACACAAACACACGTCAACTCACCTGAAACTCATCAACAATTCATTCTTCTCGACCACACCCACACACGACCAATCCATTCTATTACGCACACAAAAACTATACTCCCATCTATTCAATCCACTCTCTCGATCACCAAACCAACACCACCGTCGCCGCTCCTACAAAATAAACAAATAAAACACAAAAACAACACATCAATTGCTCATCACAATATCCACATCGACCAACACAAAAACACTAAAGTCAGACATCCAAGTGACGGAGAACAACATCAATTCTCGACTCAGTGGAAACCGCGAATGTATGGACAATTCATCATGAAACTAATAATCAACTATTCAACATTCACACAACAACACACCTAGTTGATGCCTATCAACATACATCACACAAACACACGTCAACTCACCTGAAACTCATCAACAATTCATTCTTCTCGACCACACCCACACACGACCAATCCATTCTATTACGCACACAAAAACTATACTCCCATCTATTCAATCCACTCTCTCGATCACCAAACCAACACCACCGTCGCCGCTCCTACAAAATAAACAAATAAAACACAAAAACAACACATCAATTGCTCATCACAATATCCACATCGACCAACACAAAAACACTAAAGTCAGACATCCAAGTGACGGAGAACAACATCAATTCTCGACTCAGTGGAAACCGCGAATGTATGGACAATTCATCATGAAACTAATAATCAACTATTCAACATTCACACAACAACACACCTAGTTGATGCCTATCAACATACATCACACAAACACACGTCAACTCACCTGAAACTCATCAACAATTCATTCTTCTCGACCACACCCACACACGACCAATCCATTCTATTACGCACACAAAAACTATACTCCCATCTATTCAATCCACTCTCTCGATCACCAAACCAACACCACCGTCGCCGCTCCTACAAAATAAACAAATAAAACACAAAAACAACACATCAATTGCTCATCACAATATCCACATCGACCAACACAAAAACACTAAAGTCAGACATCCAAGTGACGGAGAACAACATCAATTCTCGACTCAGTGGAAACCGCGAATGTATGGACAATTCATCATGAAACTAATAATCAACTATTCAACATTCACACAACAACACACCTAGTTGATGCCTATCAACATACATCACACAAACACACGTCAACTCACCTGAAACTCATCAACAATTCATTCTTCTCGCCCACACTCACACACGGCTAAAGAATAGTTAGGTTCTGGAGCGAGAAGAAAGTATCGAAAGCTCTTCCATCCCCGACTACACATCGTGAAAATTGTTTGCGTGCACTGCGGTTGTTGAGTGCACAAAATGCTACTTCTGGTTAACGACACGATGCACATAACGAATGCTATATAGGAGTCGGTACGTTCTCCAAACATCCGCATATATTGTAGTACCTGGGTGTAGCCGCTGTTACTGGTGCCTTTGTTGTCCAGTTCGCGATAGTTGTCATAATTTGCCTTAGTTAGGAATCATATATGGGGTTTTCATCACGAACTGACATCAGCTATAATGCCAGAAATTTTTTTAGCCAAATGCATGAAGGGCTTTCACGTTAAAATCCGAGATCAATCATCTTATGCCTGATTGATTCGTCATCAAATTATAGTCTCGCCGTTTTAGTCGTTATAGCCGCTCGAATATCACGTTTTGTACAAAATTCGCTGTGAACCAATCGTACGTTAGCAGTAAGCACTGAAACTGGCGCCGTACCCTTGAAATCCGTAAAACGCTTCTGATTGGCTCGTTCATAAATTTTAGTCTCGCCCAAGTCTCAACAAATGCCAACAGTGAATTTACTTTTCACATAGACTTTCCTAAATTAATTTTGTTCACGAGACCATGGATATCGAGGTCTTGAGCAATAAAAATATCCAGTATGTGTCGGGACTTTCTTGTACCGGAGAAGGGTTTTTGCATACACGTGAAAAAAAAACTGCCAGTAATTATCTCGGTTTCAGGGCCATCTTAGTTCATTAACACCATTGTATCATTCCTTCTTGTTTCTTCCCCTTAAATTTTTTTCACTCTACAATTTTAAGTAAGATTTTCTGTGTACTACCTTTCCGACATACAGTGTTTAAATGTACAGTGGTGGTTTAAATAACTGGGATAATTAGGCACTACGGTACTGATGAGACTCAATCTCAATAACGGTGTTCTTTGGCAGGTTTTTCTGCCGAGGATTTGGTATTTTTCAAGACATTCTATCCACATATATTGTATCCTGTCACTCAGAATTGTTGTAGTTTCGTCTCATTTAGTGCAATAGTAAGGTTTAGTGATAAATATTTTGCCCGTGAACACGATTATTTGATCAGTGTACAATTGATTAACTATTTTTATTTCTGTATTTCAAAATTTTTCTCACATGTTTCGTAATCACTTAGAGTTTGGTTAAACAATATTAGGCCAGAACAGAAAGAAGTATGGTATGTGAAGTTCTAGAATTGGCAATTGTGTTCAAAACAAGTTCAGATTTGATTCAGATTTAGGAATTGTGAACAGAAGACCCACTGCCTATGTTAGTTGCTTTCTAGTGGGCTTCTGAGTGTCTAATCTTCCTTATAATGAGTCATCTGAGGTGGCTGGCACCATTTCTTCTGGTAACATGTTCCAATAATTGATCTCTCGATACAAAAGGTCAGTGAAATGTCACTGAGCCCTAGCCAAATCATCCAGCAGTTGAATCAGTGAATATAAAACAGACCGTCGATCCCTGTCAAGGTCAAGGACAACCAACGCGCATCAGTTGATCGTATGCCATGGACTGGCGGTGGTGGTCTCGCTGTCTTCTCCGTACTCATTTTTACTAACACATTTTCACACTAACGTCGTTTGTGCCATACGGTCCTCAAAGCAGCCATTCACGTTGGATGCTGACCATGAGGTGTGAATTCGAAGTTAGCTGGTTCGTCATATCATTCCTGTCTAACTCAAGTAGACCTCCAATCATTCGACATACATCATCTATGTTGGTGACCTACACTTGTATGTTACGAATATTTTTTTCACTATTGGCATTTGCATCAGCCTACTATGTCCCATTCTGGTAAAGAGAGAAAGAGGATGCAGCAGGCCCGAAACAATTTCTTAGTTTTCTATACATCTAAATCAGATAACCTTTTAATCCGCAGTATGAGGGAGTAACGATGGCTTGCTTCTCAAGCCACTCTTTTTATTGTAAGGTTTTTAACACTGAGGTGAACATATCAATATCCAACTTGGCAAATGTCCGTCTCAAAGCCTACAGGGTTTTGAAACTCTTGGCGAAGACCGTGCGATTGCACTAAGATGATAGCTCACTGTTATCCCAAGATCATTTTGAGACCAGAAAAACTGGCGTCGAATTTTCTGTGCTGTAACTATGCACCTTTGTATTCCAATTTTGCGTGTAGGTATACCTGAGCGCGTTTACAGGCATCAATCATTATTTGGACTTTCTCAGTACAACGTCTAATTCCTCATATGGTATGGATGCATTTGCGTCAGCGAATATGTTTCAACAGACTTTCGATTATAAGCGTACAGATGCTGCTAAGAAATAAATAAATAAAACACAAAAACAACACATCAATTGCTCATCACAATATCCACATCGACCAACACAAAAACACTAAAGTCAGACATCCAAGTGACGGAGAACAACATCAATTCTCGACTCAGTGGAAACCGCGAATGTATGGACAATTCATCATGAAACTAATAATCAACTATTCAACATTCACACAACAACACACCTAGTTGATGCCTATCAACATACATCACACAAACACACGTCAACTCACCTGAAACTCATCAACAATTCATTCTTCTCGACCACACCCACACACGACCAATCCATTCTATTACGCACACAAAAACTATACTCCCATCTATTCAATCCACTCTCTCGATCACCAAACCAACACCACCGTCGCCGCTCCTACAAAATAAACAAATAAAACACAAAAACAACACATCAATTGCTCATCACAATATCCACATCGACCAACACAAAAACACTAAAGTCAGACATCCAAGTGACGGAGAACAACATCAATTCTCGACTCAGTGGAAACCGCGAATGTATGGACAATTCATCATGAAACTAATAATCAACTATTTCACTTTTAGTTTGTCGTGAGTATTAGATTCATTGTATTTATATTTGTTTTTTTAGAGGGAAATATTTATCCGTAATTTTCAATGTTTTTAATGAATCTGCCAGTCGGAAATTCTTCGCTTAATCGATTATTTCTTAATTTACATGTTACTTCTATTCCCGAATCTGCTGTTATGTCCCTTGTGAACAACTCTTACTCCTCTTCGTCATCAAACAAATGTGCATGCTTATATACAGACGTCTCTACTATTTGACATTTCCAGTTACACTGTCTAGCAACCTAATTCTGAAGATTGATTTAAATTTGACGCTTATATCCTACGAATTTCATAATAGTTCATTCACGATCCATGAAAAATGTTATAAAAACGGTATATTCTGCACTTCACGGGGTAAAAACTTTGTATTTATGTCTCATCACCGTCTTTTTAAAAGCAGATTATGTATTATCAGTTTAAATTATCATTACTTAGAATTAGTTTACTAGTTTGAATTCTTTCTCTATAAATGATGCTAGCATGAATCATCCAGGCAATTGCAGACACATATTACTGATCAATGTTAGATAGAAATATGCTTGTCATGTTGATTACTTTCAACAATAGGTATCACGCTACTACGGTGGCTTCGTTCTACTGACTCTGGAGCATGAAAATTGTGAACCCTGCATGGTAAGTAGGATAACGCTGAACTGCATGGGAGATTAACCTGTACGCCTAACTATTAACCGGGTTCGAAGAACGTGTTGCCGGTTATAGCAGTGTTTACGCTTAGTTATGCTGGGGCCTGGATCCCCTCTGCGGCTACTGAAGCTCCCAACCCTAGATAAAGGAAGAGGTTTGGGCTGGAGGTTAGTGACCGCATCCCGTAGAAAACTAACTCGCTATAAATCGTCAACCAGAAAAAGTAATCCAAACCGTTTAAACTCTGCCCTGGGAGTTGAACGGTCTTCATTTAGAAGAGTCATGACGCCTCATGGTGAAAACCGAATCTATTCGCAAACCACGAGGCTGATGCCATTTCTGACAATCAGAGCAAACATTAATTTAGGTACATATAGAGACCGTGAAAGCAATCCAAAATGCTGCAGAAATGAGGAGATACAACCTGTAGTTGCTTAGAGTCAGTGAAACACATTGGACGCAAGTTGGACAACAACGACTAGCGTCAGGGGACCTTCTGTTATACTCTGGCCATGAAGAAGAAAATGCCCCACATACACAAGGAGTTGCATTGATACTATCAAAACAAGCACAAAATGCACTTGTAGGATGGGAATCCTGTGAACCCAAGATCATCGAAGCCTCCTTCAAAACAAAGAAACGGTTCAGTACAGTGAACGTCGCCCAATGCTTGGCGCCTACCAACGACTACAATGAAGACGCCAAAGGTCAATTCTACGATAGGTTGCAGTCAATCATCGAGAAGTGCCCAACAAAGGACCTGACCATTCTGATGGGAGATTTCAACGCCAAGGTTGGAACGGACAACACTGGATATGAAGACATCATGGGACGACACGGACTGGGAGAAAGGAACGAAAATGGTGAGAGATTTGCAAATCTATGTGCCTTCAATAAACTGGTCATAGGCGGCACCATATTCCCACATAAACGCATACACAAAACCACATGGACTTCACCGGATCACTATACACAAAACCAAATCGACCATATTTGCATCAACAAAACGTTCAGGAGGACTATAGAGGACGTGAGAACCAAGAGAGGAGCTGATATAGCATCAGATCATCACTTGCTGGTCGCCAAGATGAAATTGAAACTCAAGAAGCACTGGACAACGGGGCGGACAATATCACAAAAGTTCAATACGGCCTTTCTTCAGGATACTAACAAACTCAACAAATTCAAGATAGTCCTCAGCAACAAGTTCCAGGCCTTTCATGATCTACTCAATGGAGAAGGAACTACTGTGGAGAGCAACTGGAAGGGGATCAAAGAGGCAATCACTTCAACATGTCATGAGGTCCTGGGTCACAAGAAGCACCATCACAAGGAATGGATCACTGTTGATACACTGGATAAGATTCAAGAAAGAAGGAACAAGAAGGCAGCAATCAATACCAGTCGAACAAGAGCAGAAAAAGCCAAGGCACAAGCTGAATACACAGAAGTAAACAAACAAGTGAAGAGGAGCATCAGAACCGACAAACGTAAATATGTGGAAGATTTAGCAACGACGGCGGAAAAGGCTGCAAGAGAAGGAAACATGAGACAATTGTATGACACGACAAAGAAACTCTCTGGAAATCGCCGCAAACCAGAACGACCAGTGAAAAGCAAGGAAGGCGAGGTAATCACCAACATTGAAGAGCAACAAAACAGGTGGGTAGAACACTTCAAAGAACTCTTGAATCGACCAGCTCCACTGAACCCACCCAACATCGAAGCAGCACCCACGGACCTCCCAATCAATGTTGGCCCACCAACAATTGAAGAAATCAGCATGGCCATCAGACAAATCAAGAGTGGCAAAGCAGCAGGACCGGACAACATCCCAGCAGAGGCACTAAAAGCAGACGTAGCGGCAACTGCAAGGATACTCCACATTCTCTTCAATAAGATTTGGGATGAGGAACAAGTACCAACAGACTGGAAAGAAGGACTTCTGATCAAAATACCGAA